TAAAAGAGATCAGATGGATTAAACTGTATTAACTTCTGTCTTCATCCAGGCCTTTAGGGAGCAACAACCATTAGTTTCTAGAACAAATCGTGCCTTAAACTCAGAAACAAATGTATTCCTATGCATTTCTGAAAACTATCTTTAGGAATTTTAAAATGCTTGTAAAAGTGCACAAGAGGAAGCAAATTTTTTTAGAAACAGGGTAAGCAATTACCAAACCATCTAGTCTAGTCAGTCTCCCCCCTCCTCCCCTTTTCCCTTCCGGCTTCCCCACTGAGGGTTAATGGAATGACTGAAATGGCCTTTAGGTAAAAACTTCTAAAGCCTTGGATGCAGAAATCCAGTCTGTCACAAGGAATATCCCATTCTCTAAATACTGAAGATTTCAAGAAAAATCCAGGAGTTAACGAGGAAAACTAGTACACTATACACTCGAAAAAAAAAAAACAGCTTATTTAAATTAAGCTGAATCAACACAATTCTTGACAATTCAACCTCATTTTTTAAATGTGAAAGGTAGCTCAATAGATTTGTAAATCTTGATGAATTTGGAATGAAAAATAAATGTGACATTTCTCCAAATATAAACAACAACAAAAACAGTAATACTACTACTACTGCAACAATGAACAACATATTCCAAAAGTAATAAACAATAATAAAAAGTAATAAACAATAATATATACAATAATAATAGTAATAAATAATAATAATTTATAATAATTATTATTATTATTATTATTATTATTATTATTTTTATTATTATATAAAATAAATGACAAACTCCAAAAATAATAAAAAAAACATTGAAAAATAAATATTCTCCGAATATAATAAACAACAACAACAACAACAACAATAATAATAATAATAATAACAATATTTAATAATAATAAGAATAACACTTATTATTATATAAAAATGACAACATACCAAAAATTATCAACAACATTGAAAATAAACATGACATTTCTCTAAATATAATAAACAGCAACAATAATAATATTAATAATAATAATAATTATTATTAATATTATTATATAAAATGAATGACATACTTACAAATAATAAAGGACAATGAAAAATAAATATGGCATTTCTCCAAATATAATCAACAACAACAATAATAATAATAATTATTATTATTATTATATGAAAATAAATTACATACTCCAAAAATAATAAAAAAACAATGAAAAATAAATATGACATTTCCCCTAATATAATAAACAACGACAATATTAATAATAGTAATAATAATAATAATTATTATTGTAATTATAATAATAATAATAATAATAATTATTATTATTATTATATAAAATGAATGACATAATTACAAATAATAAACGACCATGAAAAATAAAAATGGCATTTCTCCAAATATAATAAACAACAACAATATTATTATTATTAATAATAATAAGGTTATTATTACCATTATCATTATTATATAAAAATGAATGACATACTTAAAAATAATAAGGAACAATAAAAAAATATTAACTATTTATCATAAACGTATAATCATGAAGAGATTTCACATTTCATTTGGTACATTTTGTATGAAAAAATATTAATAAATGCTACTTCAAATAGTCGAAAGTAAAAAAAAAAAATCCTCCAAATTTATTTGTCAATCAATAATTAAAAATGTATTTAACAATGCATAGATTTTTTTTTCCATTTCCAAATCCATTTGGCTTTTTAAGTATTCTCCACTGTCTGGCATTTCCCTTCCCTCCATGTCCCATACTGGTGCTGTAATTCCTCATAATCTGCTCCTCAGGGCTGCTCTGCTCTTCAGTCCACCCAGCACCTCCTTTTGCTCCACTTTTGTTTAGAGGTGGACACATCAGGCCAGAAAACAACCCAAAAAAATCCAGCGGTGTGTTTTAAAATAGCATCATTCTGCCTCTCGCCGGATTCTGTTGTGGAGGAAGAAAATGTCAGAGCTTTAGCAGAATAGCTCAGAGTGACATTTGGTTCATTCGTACCCTGCTATTTGTGGCTCCAAACTCTGTTTTTCCCCCTGTTGGCCATATGAACGCTGCTAACTTGCTGTTTCTCTTACACAAACACACGCATGCTTTCCCTTTTTTTAAATCTATATTTTTATTGTGTGCAAACATAGTATAAAGTACAGAAATAGTTCGAATGAAAGTCAACCATCATTACTGAGCAGACAGTGCACTCAGTTGGTGGTTTCATAAAACATTCATTCATTCATTTTCTTTTCGGCTTAGTCCCTTTATTAGTCTGGGGTTGCCACAGCAGAATGAACCGCCAACTTATCCAGCATATGTTTTACTCTGCAGATGCCCTTCCTGCTGCAACGCATCACTGGGTTGCACCCTTTTCCGGGGCCGGATCGCAGGGGCAGCAGTCTTAGGAGAGAACCCCAGACCTCCCTCTCCCCAGACACTTAATCCAGCTCCCCGAGGGGAACCCTAGGCGTTCCCAGGCCAGCCAAGAGACATAGTCCCTCCAGTGCATCCTGGGTCTTCCCCAAGGTCTCCTCCTGGTGGGACAAGCGTGGAACACCTCCCTAGGTAGGCGTCCAGAAGGCATCCGAAACAGATGCCTGAGCCATCTTAGCTGACTTCTCTCGATGTGGAGGAGCAGCAGCTCTACGCCGAGTTCCTCCCAGGTGACAGATCTCCTCACCCTGTCTATAGGGGTGCGCCCTGCCACCCAGTGAAGGAAACTCATTCGGCTGCTTGTATCTGAGATCTTGTCCTTTCGGTCATGACCCAAAGCTCATGACCATAGGTGACAGTAGGTTTGTAGATTGACCGGTAATTCGAGAGCGTTGCCTTTCGGCTCAGCTCCTTCTTTACCACAACGGACGGACTGGTACATCGACCGCATTACTGCTGCCACTGCACCAATCCGCCTCTCAATCTCACGTTCCATCCTTCCCTCACTCCTGAACAAAACCCCAAGACACTTGAACTCCTTCACCTGGGGTGAGGACTTTCCTCCAACCTGGAGATGGCAAACCACCTTTTTCCAGTGGAGCACCATGGCCTCGGACTTGGAGGTGCTGATTCTCACCCCAACTGCGACACACTTGGCAGTAAAATTAAATAAAATTTTTAAAAAAATTAATTAATGTGATTATATAAAAATGTGGGAAATAAAACTACGACAAAGACATTTATAAATGAAAAAAAAACATGAACCCCCAGTTTAATGAATGCATGAAATAAGTTTCTGATCTAAACAAGGTATTGACAGTAACCTTTAACCTCTTTTAGAGGTCAAATACAGGCATGTGGTGATCTCCGCTGCCCCAGGTGAAGTCAGAGGCTATGCTCAGGTTTAAAGCAGGACGTCCATGCCAGGGTCAGTAATGAAGGACAGGAGCGTGATGGAGGAGGGGTGGAGGTGCACTAAACTTCATTCCTCAGCGGCTCTCAGGCAACACACCACAGGCATGACTGACCCCAGAACAGAGACTTTAAGTACAGGAAAACACCAGAGAAAACCAAGCCATGTTTTTTTCTCTTTCTTAATTGGAGGACTAGATGATCTGATTTTCACGGAATTTTGTAAAACTTTTTAAACAATGGATTGGAGAATTAAATAATATTGCATTTTTGTTACTATACTTTTTATTGGTTAATATCATTCAAAGGCCATTTCTTCTTTGTTCAAAGGGTATATAAAACTCAATAATAAAATATTATTGCATTAAATAATCCACTATTTTCATAAAATTCCAAATAATAAATAATTGATATAGCTTTTGGTGATATTGAGCATTTAGTTAGTTCTGAAAGTTTAGTTTAAGGTTTTTTAAAGGTTTAATACAGTTAATTTGTTTGGTATTTTAATACACAAATATTTATATATTTGTCTTAGTTTCTTTGAATTTATATAGAATTTGATCATAATTTGAAGTAATAAAAAAGCTGAATTCTAATGATAATATTTGGGTAGGCGTCACGGTGGCGTAGTGAGTAGCACTATCGCCTCACATCAAGAAGGTTGCTGGTTCGAGCCCTGGCAAGGTCAGTTGTGTGGAGTTTGCATGTTCTCCCCGTGTTGGTGTGGGTTTCCTCCTTCCATGCGGTATAGATTAATTAAATAAACTAAATTGGCTGTAGTGTGTAAATGTGTATGGGTGTTTCCCAGTGTTGGGTTGCCGCTGTAAGGGCATCCGCTGCATAAAACATATGTTGGATAAGTTAGCGATTCATTCCACTGTGGCAACCCCTAAATAAAAAAGGGACTACCCTAAAAATAAAATAAATGACTTAATTCAGTTTAAGTTAAATTGATATATTAGGTTTTATCATATAATTTTAAGTTGCTTAGTACTGTAATATATATTTGTATTAATTTCTTTGAATTTATATATATATATATATATATATATATATATATATATATATATATATATATATATATATATATATATATATATATATATATAGTAAAATTTGACGTAATAAAAAAGTTAAATTGTAATGATAATAATTGGCTAACACTTCTTTATTTTAAGTTTTCCCCTGAAGTATTACCAATATATTTTCATGATTAGAACTAGCTTTATCTTCTTTAGCTTTTTTAGCATCACTTTTGTTCTCAAATATCTGAATGCGTGGCATCATTACGCCATGCCACTTAATATGCAAATACGTGGGTATCTAACAACAGATACAGCACTTACCGCCCATATTTAAATGCCCCAGTTTAAAATGTCAAATAAAACAAACCTGCACAATGCACTTCTTCATGTGTTTTGCTTTTGTAACCATGCAGATCTGGATGCGTGCGTGGCCACCGCGGACTGCGCCTCAGCGAAACAACTTTTCGTGGTATTTTCCTCCCAGTCGAGTAGAGTTTCTATAGAGACGCCTCGTGTTGCTGCTGTGACGGTGCAGCTTCGGTGGAAAGTAACCAATGAGCGTCGGGTCTGCGGGTGTCTGGTTACTCCCTCTCCGGCGGCCAGGAGGTGCTCTCGCGGGCGGAGAGAGATCTGAACGTCTCGGGCTGTAAGGGTGACTTGGCTTCCCGGAGGAACCGAAGACGCGCAGCCTGTTTACAGTCGCGTAAAAGGTCCATTCACGCATAGTCTGTTTTTCTACAATAAGAAGAATCTAAAGGGTGCGGGTTGCGTTTTTTCACAGAGGACATCATGGACTTAACGATTCGACGGATCTTGTGAAGTTAAAGTAGAAACCTGTTGCCTTTTCGGAGTGGGGTTTTCATTTCAGGTTTGCTGGTGGATGTGATGCTGGACTCTTGTTTGCGCTCTGGCTAGTTGGAGCGAAGTTTGAAGTTGTGGGACGCTTATTTTAGAGGTAAGTTTGTGTGTTTTACTTAAATATTTGGTTGATGCTGCTGCTGCTGCTGCTCGCAAAAGTTAACCAGCGTTTAAATTGGTCAGTAAACCGCGTTGGCCATGAGGCACCGGGGTTCGGATTAGCAGAGGGGGTTAATGTTGATGTTTGCGACTTTTGTTTGGACTTTACTCGAGTTTCGTTGTCAAAAGGTGTTTTTAGAAGGCTTTATTTACATGTTGGAAATGCAGAATGTGTCAAATGTTGTGTACTGTGAGTGTTGGATGGTGCAGCGAGTTGGAAGTAACCGCAGGTGTTTGATGGAGGCCATTGGTCCACTTGAGAGACTCTTTGGCTGTTTAACTTCTGCTTTAATTAGTTTATGTCAGAGTTTTCGAAATGTTAGTTTCACCTTTTATATGTCGCAATTTTTATCAACTTTATTTTGGATTCTTTCTTAAAGCCTGACACTCCCAAGAATGTTAACAATGTTTTACAACAAATAAAAACGAAGAAAAAAAAGAAAAACATAGTAATTGTTGTTAAACCATAGTAGGATTTGATTGAGGTTAAGTTTTATATTCACCCCTTTGGAGTTTCTCCTTAATAATATAATTTCAGAAAAGTAATCTTTGCAAATTCTAAATAGTGAAATCAAATTAGCAGAACACTACTATCAATGTACAGCATTGTTAACAGTCAAATAAATAACGCTAATATTATTTTGAAGTCATACTTGCATGTAATTTCAGGCCGAATAATATAGGGAGCATGTCACAAGTTGTCACTGAAGAAATGTTTGAATATAAACCAACTTTACCTCAATCTGGTTTTGCTACCCTAACCATGGCATTTGTAGTCAAACATTGGTTATACAAATGGTGGGTTGGGTAACTAATCTGCCAAAAAGCTTACTCTACATTTACTATAATAAAACCATGGTTAATTTTCATAAGAGCCCTCAAATCACACTAATGTCATTAATATAGCAACATAATGCCTCAAATCACTCTATGTAATGGAGATTTTGAAAGTATAAAAGTAAAAAATCAGGTTTGCATGTGGTTGTACTTCAGTCGAGTCAAACCACAGGAACGTACTATGGTATTCCTTAAAGTAAGTTTGCTAATTTGGTGACCATGAGTAGGGTAATGAAGGGGAGAATTATGATATTGTGATTATGATGATTGTTTAATGGTGACTATTATAGTAATTGTGGACTTTAAAAGTGATGGGTCACAAAAAATCTAAAATTAGCTAAGAAAATATAAGTCGAATATTAAAGACTATTTTATCTAAAATCTTGATCTTTGGTGACTTTTAAAATGCAAATTAAAATACTGTATACTTGGGAAAGTTGAGAGTAGGGCTGGGCGATACGGCAAAAATGCAATCTCGATATTTATTTTCCATATTGAACGATAACGATATAAAATTAAAAGGGTCCATTAAATGGCATAACATATTTCAGCAAAAAAATTTTCAGTGGCTGAAAATTCGATATATCTCTAATATCAACACACTTTTAGATTCCCATTGTTGCACATTTCTGCTATGTAATAGGCTCTTAGATCAGTGTGGAGTAAAAAAAAAATCCACAGCTAATCATTGTTATTGACATCAATTTTATCCCAATTCAACATAATATTGTTTAAATTTGCAAATATAAAACCAACTTTACCTCAATCTGATTTTTCTACCCTAACCTAGGAATTTGTAGTCAAGAGTTGGTTATACAAATGGTTGGTTAGGTTACTAATCTGCCAAAAAAAAGGTTAATCTACATTCACTATAATAAAACCATGGTTAATTTTCATAAGAGCCCTCAAATCACACTAATGCCATGAATATAATCACGCAATGCTTAAAATCGCTACGTGTAATGGAGATTTGAAAAGTATAAAAGTTAAAAATCTGCTTTGCATGTTGTTTTACTACAGAAGAGAAGAGTCAAACCACATGAGAACTGTGATTATAATGTTTGATTAATGATGACTATTAAAATAATTGTTGACTTTAAAAGTGATGCTTCACCAAAAAAAAATAAAAATTTAGCTGAAAAAAATATATTAGACAAACAAACCCCCCCCCCCCAGTCGAATATTAAAAATGATTTTATCTAAAATCTTGATCTTTGGTGACTTATAAAATGCAAATCAATAGATACTAAGGGACATTCAGAGTAGGGCTGGGCAATATGGCAACAATGCAATCTTCATAATTATTTTCCGTATTGAACGACGACAATATATATTTCGATATAAGTTGTTAATGCTTCAAGATTTAAAAGAGTACCTCAACATAAACTGAAGCCACAAACATTAGAGGGTCCATTAAATGGCATAACATAATTTCAGCCGATAAATTTTCAGTGGATGAAAATTCTGTGCATCTCTAACATCAACACACTTTTAGATTCCCATTGTTGCACATTTCCCCGGTATGATAGGCACTTAGATGTTGGATTAATGGTGACTATTAAAATAATTGTTGACTTTAAAATTAATGCTTCACCAAAAAAATTAAAAATAAAATAAGCTAAAAAAAAAAAAATAAGAAGTTTATTTTTTCCTTCCTCAGTCAAATATTAAAAACGATTTTATCTAAAAATTAGATTTTTGTTGACTTATAAAATGCAAATCAATAGATACTAAGGGACGTTCAGAGTAGGGCTGGGAAATATGGCAACAATGCAATCTTAATAATTATTTTCCAAATTGAACAATAACAATATATATTTCAATATAAGTTGTTAATGCTTCAAGATTTGAAAGAGTAGCCCAACAAAAACTGAAGCCACAAAAATTAGAGGGTCCATTAAATGGCATAACATATTTTCAGCGGATAAATTTTCAGTGGCTGAAAATTCGGTATATCTCTTAATATCAACACACTTTTAGATTCCCATTGTTGCATATTTCTGCTATGTAATAGGCTCTAAGATCAATAAAGTGTAAAAAAGAAACAAACACAGAGCTTATCATTGTTATTGACATCAGTTTTATCGCAATTCAATATGATATTGTTTAAATGTGTAAATATAAAACCAACTTTACTTTAACCTAATCACTAAATGTAAATGTAAATTCTACCCTAACCATGACATTTGTAGTTAAACATTGGTTATACAAATGGTTGGTTAGATAACCAATCTGCCAAAAAAGCTTACTCTACATTTACTATACTAAAAACATGGTTAATTTTCATAAGAGCCCTCAAATCACGCCAAGTATAATGTTATGAATATAATAACGTAATGCCTAAAATCACTCAGTGTAATGGAGATTTTGAAAGTATAAAAGTTAAAAATCAGGTTTGCATTTCTACTCTCTATTTGGCTTTTTAGATCATTCATTTATTTTATTTTCGGCTTATTTCCTAACTTTTTAGATCAATATAGAGTGAAAAAAGGTCCAGAGCTTATCATTGGTATTGACATAAATTTTATTGCAATTCAATATAATATTGTTTATCCACCCTAGTTCAGAGTCAGAAACTCTATAAAGGTAAAACAAAGTGATTGCTTATTATCTAGGATCGAGGCTTTGGATTAATGTTATAAACAAGTATTTCAATATAGTAATTTCATGGATTATTACCTGACGTCCACCCCATTCTCTATAAAATGTATGCTTTTTTAATCCAGTAATCATAAGTGACCTGTGGTAAAGCCTCATTCAGAACCACTGTATTATCATCACAGACCATTACTGTACCAAAGTACTCTTTTTAAGGGTTAGAAGGCTCTGCTTTTTACATCCTAATGGCCATCATCATCATGAGTTTCAGGAACCTCTCATCCTCACATGCACTTCAGCTCTCCAAAGTTGTCATTTGAGAGCTGCAACTTGTCATTTTTAGTCTGTTTATATCTCGCAATGCCACTCCTGATCTAATGGCAGGCACAACCGTCTCGTTCCCATATAAACATAAGTAGTTCTTATGAAATTACGCTGTGTGGTTTGCAGTTCACAGAATTAGCAGCGAAAGAGCAGTTTCTTGCAGAGAGGAATGTTCCTGACGCTGAGGGTGTCTGATTCATCCAGCCAAAGTTATAGGGGCCAATACAAGTTCTTGTTTTCTTTTGTATGGTGGTCTGAAGGTTTGTTTTATCCTCTACATCGAGCTCAATGGATCTTTTGTTTTAGGTCTCTCCGTTGGAGTTCGGGAAGTTTGGGTGCAGGTTTACATCTGGGTTGTATGCTTGGTAGTTTTAAAGTTCATTTGTGTGGTAGAGAAGATGTTTTTAGGCCCTCTTTACTCAAATACGTTTTCAATTTAAAATGCATACGTGTTGCTACGATTAAGCCATCCATCCACTCTACGCCAGATAAAAAAATTTTTGAGGGGTGAAAGTATAAATGAAGCAGAAGTAAAAATATAATTATTTTTTTATATACAACAGTGCTTCGCTTTACGTTGGGCTGCTGATAAGCCTGTTGGACTTTATTCTGCGAGAACAACCCATTTAGTGTACATTATTTGAAGCACCATATGACATTACTTTAGTACCGTTGCAACCACAATTGCGATAATTGGGGTGTGATAAAGAGACTGATGAATGATGATTGAAATTTCTTTTAAAATTATTTAGTTAAGTAATTTCAAATCTAGTATATTTGAAAAATGTTTGAACAGGAAACCACAAACCTGCAGACAGTGCATGTTGGAAACTGAGTGTAATTGTGCATTGATGTAAATGATAAGAAAGTTATCTTTCCGATTGTTTGTGTGAATAAATGGTAAAGACATTGACTCTGAATCAGGCTCAGGCACGGTTCACTTGGCCGGCCCTGGACTTAGTTGGAAGAGGTGTGCCAGAGCGTGGTTTACTTGGGCTCTGGCGAGGTACACTGGCAGTGTGAGTGTAAAGCGTGCTTGAGCCCTAGACTGAAGACGAGACTTGACTTTTAAGGGACTGTTTCATAGGGTTTTGCAATTATTCGAAAATACGATTTCGATTTTGGCTTCTAACGATTATGAAAAACCATTAATCGAGATAAACGATTATTGCATCATAT